CACACACACACACACAAACACATACACTCACACACACACACAAACAAACGCAGACTCACATATACACACACAAATACACACAGACACACATACACACATACACACACAACTATTTACCACCAGGCCACTGCCGTCGCCATTGAGCAGGTCCCTGTATTTTGAGCTAGGGTTGTCTTATCTTGCTCAAGGACACACCCCAGTGACCACCCATCTAAACCCTGTGTCACCGACACTTGCTCGACCTTGCTTGAGTCTGAACTCACTGCTCGCTTAGCCGCTGGAGCCCCTAAAGTCTAGTGTAACTGATCCCTCCCTCATGCTTAATTATATGTCACTGATCAAAGTACCGTATACCCTTCGGGGAAGTGCCACTGACTGAAGTGTCTTTAGGCCATTCCCGAAGGGTGGACATTTCTCGTTCAAGCATAGTAGAATTGTAAATTGGCTGACTCATGTCACGCTCATAATTGTGCCTGATCTACAACAGGGAACTGCTGCTTTTTCTTTCCCGATCCTTACTATTGTCATTTTTCTCTACTTCTTTTGTATTTTTGTCACTCCCTTGTGACCTGCTATTTTGGGGTGCCTTGATAGTCGAAGCAGACCTTGTGCTGTTGAAGCTAGAGAGGTGAGCAGTCTAAGTCTGATGCCCTGTAAAGACTTCTCTGTTGACACCCACCCCTTGGCGCTCAAATGACCTTATGCAGTTGCGAGCGTCGTAAAACCCTCTACTATTAAAAAAAAAAGTACCGTATGGTAGAGTTTTATGAGAAGTAGTCAATATGATTTTAACTCTTTATCTCCGGTAAGTTGCCCCCAACTGCTCGCATTTGGAACCCCTGTGTCGGTGAGTAGCTGACAGCGGCTCGGGCACATTCCTTTACGACAACTTCGACATCAACGATCAAATTACTTTTCGGCAACAGCTGAAAACAGGTCTTTTATTCCGGAAGTTTTTTCACTAGATGAAGAACTATCGAAATAAGTTTGCTAGTTTCGATTTAATGACCCATTTAATGATGTTTATGCCATTTTTAGATCAAGCACCAAACAAGGGCCCCGGCGCTGTGGGTTTATCCCCCTCGGAGATCAAGAGTTAAATCATCATATGTGAGGCAGCGTGGTGGAATCAGGCGCTCGTCAATTTTTGGGCATTTAGAGTTTTTGGTTTTATCCTAAAGCTTGTTCACTTGTCTTTATTTGGATGAAAAAAAATATCCATTCAGCTTGAGTACAAGTCAAAACATTTGCGAAAGAAGGAGGTGGGGGTCACCTTTTTTCAGAGGTAAAAATTAGAGAGAAAATAGCCGTCAAAGATTAGTTATTTCCTTAGCTTAAGAGTAAGTGGTAACTGAAAATTTACAGTTTTTGTGCCTTTAATCAACGTTTTTCAGAAAAATCCACACAGAAATAAGTTCTTTAATGGGCCTGAAAGGTGTTGAGCCAAAAAACAAAAGTTTGATTAAAATTCACAAACTTGCGGAAAAATGCAAGTTTCTTCACTTTGGTTATTTTGACAAGAGCCCGATTCCACCACGCTGCCTCACATATGTGTTGTAAGAATAATGAGTAACTGCAATATTGTTTCGTTTCACAATTTATTTCTATTTCGGATGGAAATCATCTTGGTGAGTTTATTCAAACCATGTTCCTGCTCTGCCCGTGACAGATTTTTGGACCAGTCCAGCAGATTTTGA